GGGGGGGGGAGGGGAGAGAGGCCAGGGGGAAAGAGAGACGTTGGTGTGGACGGAGGTCGTAAAAGAATATCGGTGCGCGAAGTCTCGACCTCGATCTTTCGCGGTAGGGGCACTTTCTTTTTCAGACAGGGCCCAGGGCCGGGTTAAGGGTGCCCCAGGCCCTACCCGACAACCAAACTCTCTCGCCCACCGCTCTTTTTTTTTTTACCCCTATTCGAGTTTCTAGAATAGTTTCACGCTTGAAACGAATTTCCAAACGTTTTTGCGTCTTGCTTCGAGCAAGAGGCAGTCGTCAATGTCGTTTCCACAGGAGCGTGTTTGTTTCGACACGCCAGACAAACAAAACAAAGCAATGGTTCCTGTCCATTCGAGAGAGTTGTTCTCGAGAGTGTCCCTTGAAAACGGTGTCTGTCGCCTATTCTGACTGTGAGAGAATGTTCCGGCAGATTCCGGAACACCGAGAATCATTGGAACTGTTTTCAGTTGGGGATGGAGTAACGCTCGCAAAGTTTCGAGTAATATCACTCAGCCGTTTCAAAATTCAACTTGACGCGAGTGAGTGTCCACTCGAGAGTGGACGACCATCGCGAGAATTTCACTCGAGAGTATTTTTCCGTTTTCTCTTCGTCGAGAGTGACTATACGAGAGAACGATTCGACTGCTTGAGAGTGGTCGAGCAGCTGTATTCCCGAGATGCGAGCGAGTGTATTTGAGAATAGAAGTCTTCTTGAAAAGAGTAATCAAAAAGCGTTCTTGCGCGATGCTTGCTAGCCGCAGAAATAAAAACGTTCGACTGAACTGAAGTTGGAGAGAAATTCTCGAATGGACGCTCGTGAGGGAGAGAAAGGGGAAAAATGGACAAAGAGTATAAGCAATTTTAATTAACGGAGCAACGATGCGCGCGATGGATCGGCGACCTAGCGAGGACACGGGTAGGGAAGAACGACCGCGGCGTGTACTCGGAAGCGTGGACGCGGTAACCTCGTTAGACAAAGGGACGAGACGCGAACATGGATAGAAAATAGTAGTAGACGAGACGAAGA